CTGCAGTCACTAGGAGCTGTTAGCAGCTGAAGCCATTTGGTTTGGATGCTGGCTGCCTGGCTGGGTCCCTCGCTCCCCTCCTGACAGCTGAGCTATGCCACTTCTCTCTCTCCCATGCTGGAAATGTCCAGCACAGCCAGCCCCCACAACCCACCCCAACACATTGGCAGTCCAAGACACTACCAGTTGCTGAGCTTGCTAGGGCTGGGGCTGGGCAGTTAGACAGCTTACTGCCCGGCCCGCTCACATAAAAACAAACTAAATTAGCTTGCTGAGTTAAATGTGTAGTACAGTATATTGCTTACAGTGTCGATGGGTATGGTTGGAGTCGCTGTGAGGTCATCAAATCAAATCAAATTATATTTGTCACATGCGCCGAATACAACAGGTGTAGACCTTACCGTGAAATGTTTACTTACAAGCCCTTAACCAACAATGCAGTTCAAGAAATAGAGTTCAGAAAATATTTACAAAATAAACTAAAGTAAAAAATAAAATAAAAAGTAACACAATAAAATAACAATAACGAGGCTATATACATGGGGTACAGGTACCGAGTCAATGTGCGGGGATACAGGTTTGTACATGTAGGTAGGGGTGAAGTGACTATGCATAGATAATAAACAGCGAGTAGCAGCAGTGTAAAAACAAAGGGGAGGGGTGTCAATGTAAATAGTCCGGGTGGCCATTTGATTAGTTGTTCAGCAGTCTTATGGCTTGGGAGTAGAAGCTGTTAAGGAGCCTTTTGGACCTCGACTTGGTGCTCCGATACCGCTTGCCGTGTGGTAGCAGAGAGAACAGTCTTTGACCATTTTTTGGGCCTTCCTCTGACACCGCCTAGTATATAGGTCCTGGATGGCAGGGAGTTTTGCCCCAGTGATGTACTGGGCCGTACGCACTACCCTCTTTAGCGCCTTATGGTCGGATGCCTTGCAGTTGCCATACCACGCGGTGATGCAACCGGTCAAGATGCTCTCAATGGTGCAGCTGTAGAACTTTTTGAGGATCTGGGGACACATGCCAAATATTTTCAGTCTCCTGAGGGGAAAGGTGTTTTCGTGCCCTCTTCACGACTGTCTTGGTGTGTTTGGACCATGATAGTTTGTTGGTGATGTGGACACCAAGGAACTTGAAACTCTCGACCCGCTCCACTACAGCCCTGTCGATGTTAATGGGGGCCTGTTCGGCCCTCCTTTTCCTGTAGTACACGATCAGCTCCTTTGTCTTGCTCACATTGAGGGAGAGGTTGTTGTCCTGGCACCACACTGCCAGGTCTCTGACCTCCTCCCTATAGGCTGTCTCATCGTTGTCGGTGATCAGGCCTACCACTGTTGCGTCGTCAGCAAACTTAATGATGCTGTTGGAGTCTTGCTTGGCCACGCAGTCGTGGGTGAACAGGGAGTACAGGAGGGGACTAAGCACGCACCCCTGAGCGGCCACAGTATTGAGGATCAGCGTGGCAGATGTGTTGTTGCCTACCCTTACCACCTGGGGGCGGCCCGTCAGGAAGTCCAGGATCCAGTTGCAGAGGGAGGTGTTTAGTCCCAGGGTCCTTAGCTTAGTGTTGAGCTTTGTGGGGCACTATGGTGTTGAACGCTGAGCTGTAGTCAATGAACAGCATTCTCACATAGGTGTTCCTTTTGTCCAGGTGGGAAAGGGCAGTGTGGAGTGAGTTTGAGATTGTGTCATCTGTGGATCTGTTGGGGCGGTATGCGAATTAGAGTGGTTCTAGGGTTTCCGGGATGATGGTGTTGATGTGAGCCATGACTTTCAAAGCACTTCATTGCTACTGACGTGAGTGCTACGGGCGGTAGTCATTTAGGCAGGTTGCCTTCGCTTTCTTGGGCACAGGGACTATGGTGGTCTGCTTGAAACATGTAGGTATTACAGACTCGGTCAGGGAGAGGTTGAAAATGTCAGTGAAGACACTTGCCAGTTGGTCCGCGCATGCTCTGAGTACACTTCCTGGTAATCCGTCTGGCCCCGCGGCCTTGTGAATGTTGACCGGTTTAAAGGGACTTTGACGCTTTGCCTGTTTGATGGTTCGTCTGAGGGCATAGCAGGATTTCTTATAAGCGTCCAGTGGGTGTTCTACTGCTGTTGGGACATGTGAAAGGGACTTGTGGAATCTGGAGCACAGCTTACAACGGGTGAGAGACAGAGAGCCAAATGAGGAGACAACAATGAGGAATATCCATTACTCTATCTCATCTAATCACTAAGTAGAAACAAAAACAAAAGTAACCAAAACAACCAAAAACAGAACAGAAACTATTATTTCACAGGAATAGCCATCCACTCCTCTGCCTTTTCCTGTGTTGTGTTAGGTCACCGAGTTGCCTTAAACACTTCTGTTCACACATACAGGTATCTGTCACTTGTGTGGGTGTGGTTTGCTGATGTAATATTTTGCACAATGAAAGAACAAACACAAACACACCACACACAGAAACTCACAGCATGGTGCTTCTAGATTCTCTTGTTGAGATACTCTCAGGTGGCAACATGGTGCTCTTACTTGGTCTTGACCGTTGGTCTTTTTGACATCAACTTCACTGCAACCCTTGATACCTGAAAAGACAGATAATCCAAGGGTTAATACACTCTGCAGTCTATACACATTGCCTCTGTGTTGTCCTGTGCCACTCCAAATGTCATCATCATTGTGAAACACAAAGCACAGTTGTTTGACAGCCTCTTTCCTTTCTGTACATCATGTCATCCCATAAGAACATGTGATATCGTGGAGGAAGATCTATCCAAGCTGAGGTCATCACAAGTATATTTTTGATTGAATGTCATAATTTCCACACCCAGATGAGGTCATGTGGTCATGCCCAGTAGAAGGAAGGTTTGTTATTCTTTAAGTCTGTATTTATACCCTGGGATGGTGGTCAGATGGCAGTACGCCTAGAGGTTAAGAGTGTTGGGCCAGTAACTGAAAAGTTGCTGGTTTGAATCCCCCAGCCGACTAGGTAAAAAATCTGCAGATGTGCCCTTGAGCAAGGCACTTAACCCTAATTGCTCCATTAAGTCGCATTGGATAAGAGCGTCTGTTAAATGGCAAAACAGGTGGTCTTATTTCACAGAATCAGCACTGTGATTAATATGATTCACAGTTATGTGTGAAGTAGCCCTCATTTTCTCACACTAACATGTCTCAGATAATCAGTGTGAATAATAATAATAATAATAATAATAATAATAATAATAATATGCCATTTAGCAGACGCTTTTATCCAAAGCGACTTACAGTCATGCGTGCATAAATGTTTTGTGTATGGGTGGTCCCGGTGAATACAAATCACACAGAATGAGTACAAGACAACAGACCAGAATATACCACCAATAGTTTACATAATGATGCAATTATTGTTTTCTTTCTCACAGTTGGTAGAGCATGGTGCTTGCACTGTCAGGGTTGTGGGTTTGATACCTGGGACCACCCATATGTAAAATGCATGCACACATGACTGTAAGTCGCTTTGGATAAAAGTGTCTGCTAAATAGCATATATTATATTATTGAATGAAACACTGTGCATATACTGTATGTCAACCCCACTCTGTCTCTCTCTCCTAGGAAGCTCCAACCTTTAGCATAGCAACAGAAGACATTTATAAGGGCCCATCCAACAAAACCATCACCAAAACACTGCTGCTTGTCACCCTTAGCAACACCAAGTCACTTCCTGTTTCTGTGCCCAGACATCACCTCAGCCCTCTCTCTGGTTCCTCTGAGATATGGGCCTTGGGGTCGGGCCTGCTGAAAGAGTCAAGACCCTTATGTGCATGCAATGAACCTGGCAGCGAGGGTGTATGTCTGCTCCAAAACAACAATTTGGTGACACAGGTAGACAACGATTCTGTTAGTAGGGTTTGTCATATTCTAGTAGTCCATTTTTCCTGTGTTGGATCTTCAAGAAGCATGTATACGAAGAGTATTTTTCAATTCATGTGATTTATGCTACAGCTAAATACCCAGTTAGTTATCACTGATATGAGAAAACACTGGATCACATGATCCTGAATCAAGTTTTAGCATCTCAATGACAAACAACTAACACAGCAATGGTGTCTGTTTCGCCACCTACTTGACCACCACCTTGTGGTGAGTTGTGGTTAGTACAATGAAGCTACAACAGACATGCACCCATAGCTGGCTGACATGCACCACTAGGCTACAGTGCGGTGTGTATTTTACCAATTACTCATTACATTTACATTTTAGTCATTTAGCAGACGCTCTTATCCAGAGCGACTTACAGTTAGTGCATACGTAATTATTTTTTTTTTTCATACTGCCCCCCCCCCGTGGGAAACGAACCCACATCCCTGCCGGCCAAACCCTCCCCTACCTCGGACGACACTGGACCAATTGTGCGCCGCCCATGGGTCTCACGGTTGCGGCCGGCTGCGACAGAGCCTGGACTCGAACCAGGATCTCTAGTGGCACAACTAGCACTGCGATGCAGTGCCTTAGACCACTGCGCCACTCGGGAGTCAAGATGTTACAGTAAGTAATGTTTTTTTTCTAAGACACTGATTGCCAACAAATTAGTTATTACATCTTGATAACTAAACTCATCAAACCCATGTATTGGTTCATCAAACCCAGTTAAGTGAATTCAACCTATTATGGTAGCCTACTGATTTATTTCGATTAGGATATTCAGTGGGATGGACAATACAAGTTTTCCCAGTCCCACATTTGTTCCCATGTCCTGATGAAGTGAGTTGAAAGTAGGCATCTTTGCCAACAAGGTCAAGGGTTGCTGGTTCAAGTCCCCCTCAGGTTGTCCCTCCTCAATTACTGCTCTTGCCTCCTGAAAACATATTTTTAATGCGCTATTGACATTGCAATGTGTTAAAATGTGGCCTTTTATTTTGAAGGTTTCTTCATTACTATACCAGTGTGACGTCATTTGTGTTTTTAATCACATGCGTTTTCTTACGTTAATAGCTAGACATCTCTCTTTTATTGAATGTTTACTCCATGCCATGGCGTTGATTGAGGCTTGGTTCATGGACGATTCTGACGAAGATCAGAGGATGCCGCATAAACTAAACCCAAACGAACCTGTGTCTTTGGAGGAGTTAGAAAAGCTTGGCGTTTTCTACTGGAAGGTAGTTAGCGAGCAAGGAACAACTTGATAACAACTTTAGCCGTTTGTTAGACAAGCTTCAGCTATCAAGAAAAATTAGTCAACGTTTAGCTAGCTAGCTACTTAGTTATTCACTATTGTTGGTGAACTAAATTATATGGAGAGGGAGTACAAACCAACGACGCTAGACAGAGAGGAATTTGCTTAAGCAAAAGGCAGTTTATTAAACACAGAGATATCTTGTACTGTTAGTTAACATGCATGGAATCCTGCTAATTTAACATGCATGGACCTAATCATATGGCACTCTAGGAGTCAGCTGAGAAGGATGTTTAAACAGAGTTTACAGCATTACTTTATACAATGTAACATAAAGGGAGGGATTCTTCTCCTAGTCCCTCTATTGGTTCCAGAGGCGTAGGAGGCGGGTCTGCTCTGTCCAGAGTAGAAGCCCCATTGGTGCACGGCAGAGTCCTCTGCCCTTGGCACCCGACCAGTAGACAGGGGAGTGGAGTTTGAGTGTGCGTGCACAGTGAAATGTCTGTGTGTGTCAAGGGAACTCGTGGGGAGTTGAGAATGAGTGTGCGTGCAAATGAAATGTTTGTGTGTCAAAGAACTCGTGGGGAGTTGAGAATGAGTGTGCGTGCAAATGAAATGTCTGTGTGTGTCAAGGGAACTCGTGAGAAGGAACTGGTGGTTGTGGCCGGAGGTGGGGGTGTTGTCCTGTTATCGCACTCCTGCAAGACTAGGCCATCTGGTGACAAGATATGGTGTTCTCCTCTGTCCTTTGTTCTCTGACCTGGAACAGCATTTATTGAAAACAAGCTCCTAACACAAATGGGTCTTGCACAACATTTTAGTCAGACCAATCTATAACATTTTATATTTACTACGACAAATTATATTTACTACGACAAATCCCCCTCTTCACGTCTCCCAGACGTGATCCATTAATTATGGTGGCATGAAGCATAGTTGAATCAGTCTTAAAAGAAAAACAATAATGCAGAAAAGAAAACAACACATGATAACGCATAATGCAATTTAAAAAAATGTCAACCATCCCCCTCTAGCATACTAATTATATGGCCAGTTAATTAAACTATGTTAGTCCCCCTCTAGTGCACGATTAAATACATCAAAGCTGTTGTTCAAATTCTATTTCATCTTCCCCTAAAAGGGGGTAGATTTGAGCTTGTTCGTTTGGAGTGGGTGCGATGGCAAAGATTTCTCCTTCTACCTGGTCGAGGTTCTTTTTTCCATAAGGGAATATACATGTTTGGTATCAAATTGTGGTTTTGCTGCTCAAATCATCTCTGACTTCTGTCAGTGTTCTAGAAGGAGTGGGGGCTGGTGTGCAATGTGTTAGATGGTGCCAGGGTGCGCCTAATTTACCTCTGACCTGGACTGAGTGTGAAGTAACCTCCTTCACTTCGTACGGTCCAGTCCACCTGGGTTCCAGCCACTTTCTCTTGTGGACTTTTACCCTCACCCAGTCTCCCACCTTTACCTTCAGTGGTAGCGTACTTCCCGTCAGCTCCCCCTCTTGGGCCTTCTGCACCTGAGAAGAGAGTGCTGCAGAAAATTCCGTCAATTTCTTCACATAATCAGTCATTTCTATCTGTTGTACATCAAGGGCGGGCATATGACCTCCCTCCCTTGGCTAGGTTGGCGCGTTCCACGAGTCCCTGGGACTGTGGATGTTACTGAACCGAATCTGTGCATGATTCCGAATCTTTCCTCCACCTCTCTCAGATGTTTTGTTGCTAAAACGTGTGGTTGTCAGATCTTATCTGCCTTGGTATACCATATCTGGGTATTAACTTAGTTTGTAGCCACTTAATGACTGACCTAGCATCCTCTTATTCTGTAGTTTCTGTAGGAATTGCCTCTACCCATTTTGAAAACCTGTCTACATTTTCTTTCATGTGAGGGTGCCACCAGATGTGTGGGAACTTTTGGAGGGTCTTAAACTTTCCCTCGTGCGTGGGCCCGTGGGCCTCACTCAACAGTTCTGGGCAGAGTCTAGCTGGTTCAACTAGTCTTCCATCATGGCACCTCCAGAGTTCGTCCTGTCCTCTGCCGCCCCCTCCTGGGCCCAGACTGAGTGTTCATAGGGTCCTGCTGAGCTCTGTAACTGTGCTATATCGCCTTGGTTGAGTTCAGTCTGTGATGTCGGTGGTAGTAGTATTGGATGAGGATCACGCCTTCGGGCACCTGGAGTTCAGACAGGTGGGTTTATGGTTGTTGTGGGGGTCCTCCCCTTCCTCTACCTCTCCATTGTGGTGTACCTCTGCCTCTTCCCCTCCCTGGGGGTTGATGGTTAGATTGCTGCAGATCCCAACAATCACGCTTGAAATGTCCAGGTCTTCCACAATGGTAGCACAGGTAGTTCCCTCCTCTTGGAGGACCTAATGGGGTGCCCTGCTGAGGCCATGGTTGTGGTTGTGGGCCAAAAGTCATGGTGCCTTTTAGGCTGTATAGTGAGGTGGGGCCAGGAGTGGTGCTGGTACTGGCCTCTGGGGAAGCTGCTTCAGTGGCCACACACATCGTATCTGATTTCTTTGGTTGCACCCTCCTGCTCTCCAACGCCACTTTTTTAACTTTCCTATACTGTACTTTTCCCCTTGCTCTGTCTGTCATTCGTTGTTCTAGATATTCATTAAATTTGGGTTTAGTTATGTTTGGCCCTGCCATCTTGCTTTCTCTATCGTTATACACTTATCCCGTCCCTGGTGTTTTATTTTCCAAGGATGTATTATCGGTATCAATACAGACTTATCTCATGTACGACACCCTCGTATATAAAGAGGCTGATTTATATAATTTGTAATGCAATTATTATCATAAAAATCAGAATTCCAGTCACATATACCAATGCAGTAATTCCTCCACAGCACACAACACGCTTCAATTGTCTCAGTTCTTGTTCAAGAATATGCACAGATCCAATATCAGTCTCCCCAATCCCTGGTTCCTGAAAGCCTAGGTCAAATTCACTCAATTCCACAGATTGGTATTCAGTTTCATAAGTCTCACTATAACTTCCCATCATCCATTACACGTTATAATACATAAAAACACACAACCAAAAGCCAATTGGAATTACAATGCTTAATAAATTCCGGTTCTCAAAGCGTCCTAAAACATATTGTCAGTTCGACTGCCACCCTCCACACGTCCTTATGTAAGGATCAATTTTACATGTGAAGTCACAGAAGCAACTAATGAATTTAGATTACCAGAGCGTCCTAAAACATAGTCTCAGTTCGACTGCACCCTTCACACAACCTTAAAAGGCACCTTCATTATGTGAAGTCACAGAAGCAACTGGATCCCTATCAAAGGATTTTTAGTTTAGACAACTCGATCACTAGGAAGGACTTAGTCTCAGCTTAATTGTACCTTTCACACAACCATTTATATGGGATCGTTTTAAGTGTGAAATCACAGAGATAACTGGCATCCCCGGGAATTTAGTACCTCTGGTCAATTTCGGTGATTCTCCCCCACCTAATGTCTAGAACTCTGCCACAGTTTAACGTGATCAACTCTCTCACAACCTATAGGGTAGGACCTCCCCTAATAGGATTTATGCAAAAGGTCTCAGTTCAAACTGGGTCCCTTTAGGAATCTAGATTATGGGTCAAATCTTATCCACATCATGTGTTAAATCGCAATTTAACCCATAGGATACAATCATCAGTATTCAGCCACTGGTAAGACTCTCATAATATAGTCACAGTTCTCAGTGTTCACAGTACCAGATATCTCATTTATGCCTTAATTCATTTAGGATGGAAATTATTTACCAAGTATTCATACTCACACTCAGTACTACTGATCAAAATTTGGTATTGGTCTATAATACAATATGCAAGATTTTGTTTTAACAGGCTCTGCTTACCTTTTTAGAAGAGCGCGCTCTGATCAGGTTCCTGAGGCAAGACGAATAGTTGATGTCTCCTGGATTTCAGGTCACTCTTCCGTCTGTTTTTAGATCGATGATTTGCCTTTTCCTCTCTCACCAACTTTTTAGATCGAAATAGAAACCATCCTCTGCTACCATTTTGTTGGTGAACTAAATTATATGGAGAGGGAGTACAAACCAACGACGCTAGACAGAGAGGAATTTGCTTAAGCAAAAGGCAGTTTATTAAACACAGAGATATCTTGTACTGTTAGTTAACATGCATGGAATCCTGCTAATTTAACATGCATGGACCTAATCATATGGCACTCTAGGAGTCAGCTGAGAAGGATGTTTAAACAGAGTTTACAGCATTACTTTATACAATGTAACATAAAGGGAGGGATTCTTCTCCTAGTCCCTCTATTGGTTCCAGAGGCGTAGGAGGCGGGTCTGCTCTGTCCAGAGTAGAAGCCCCATTGGTGCACGGCAGAGTCCTCTGCCCTTGGCACCCGACCAGTAGACAGGGGAGTGGAGTTTGAGTGTGCGTGCACAGTGAAATGTCTGTGTGTGTCAAGGGAACTCGTGGGGAGTTGAGAATGAGTGTGCGTGCAAATGAAATGTTTGTGTGTCAAAGAACTCGTGGGGAGTTGAGAATGAGTGTGCGTGCAAATGAAATGTCTGTGTGTGTCAAGGGAACTCGTGAGAAGGAACTGGTGGTTGTGGCCGGAGGTGGGGGTGTTGTCCTGTTATCGCACTCCTGCAAGACTAGGCCATCTGGTGACAAGATATGGTGTTCTCCTCTGTCCTTTGTTCTCTGACCTGGAACAGCATTTATTGAAAACAAGCTCCTAACACAAATGGGTCTTGCACAACATTTTAGTCAGACCAATCTATAACATTTTATATTTACTACGACAAATTATATTTACTACGACACTATCATATACACATAAATGTGACTGTAGCTAGCTAAATTGGATTGCATAAAACAGTAGTGTCCCGAGTCGCCCAGGCTTCGCTCACGTTTGGAAGGATGATCTGACCTCGCGAGACTGACTGGTTGTTTCTGTACTGTCCTTGTCTTAGATGCTGATATTTATGAGACAGACCATGCGCTGAAAAAGATCCGTAAAGACATGGGGTACTCCTACTCCAACATCATCACTACCCACAAGGATAAACTACCCAACTATGAGGACAAGGTATTGCATAGAACGAAAAAAAAAACATTTCAGTCTGCTCACATTACAATTAATATTTTGTTACGGACTGTACGTTATTTATAATGAAGGATACCTGGAGAAAATCGGACCTCTGAAATGAAAAGGGATGGCCCTCCCTTCACAAAAATATATTTTTACGTGACCCTCCCTGAAGCTTGAAAAATAAATAAAAAGGTGACCCTCCCCTATAGCCAAAATTATTATTAAAACATAAAGTGGATAGCAGAGAACATGGCTACCATTTCCCCTAAAACATCAGGGCTTCAACAAGGGTTATTCTGAGACCCTCAAAGTTCTTTGAAGAGCCTTAGGGTTCTTGGCACTGAAAGTTGCCCCCAAAAGGTTCTTCCGAGAACCCCATAGGAGGTGGGGTTCATTGAGGAACCTCATTAGTTGGTAGGGGTTCTTGCAGGAACCTAACTGCCCAACTGAAACATTTGGATTTGAATTTGAAAGGACAGCAGATGCAGGCACTTAACTGAAAAATGTAAAGATCTCCTCAATTTAAGGTAAGGTTTGTCCCTTGTATGATCTAAATTGATATTGTTTTATGATGATACCATCTATCTTTTCATATTTGTGCAAATCTTTCTAAAACAGAAAATGGACACAATGCAATGGATATCAATCAACAAAGAGGTAAGAATATGTATGCTATAAGAATATGTTGAAGGCTAGCTGTATTGCGTGCAGATGACTGAACTGCTCACTTTTTGGTATGTGTATGAAAACCATTATCAAAACAGTTTTGTCATTCACATTTACCACAAAAACCAAGGTATGAATACTGTCGTGTGCATGTTTTGTTAATCATCTGTATATTTACTATTTTTTGGGATTCACAGACTTCACCCTCCCTACACCTCTGATGAATATAGCAGGAAACCTGTTCGATCACCATGCACTGCAAAATCATTCATAATACGAACACCAATAAGAACAATAACACGATATTAGTGTTTATTATGATTGTAGTGGCAAAACAGAACAAAACAGCAGAGCCCCGTCCAAAGATTTGCACAAATATGAAAAGATAGATGGTATCATCATAAAACAATATCAATTTAGATCATACAAGGGACAAACCTTACCTTAAATTGAGGAGATCTTAAAAATTTTCAGTTAAGTGCCTGCATTCGCTGTCCTTTCAAATTCAAATCCAAATGTTTCAGTTGGGCAGTTAGGTTCCTGCAAGAACCACCACCAACTAATGGGGTTCCTCGATGAACCCCATCTCCTATGGGGTTCTTGGAAGAACCATTTGGGGGCAATTTTCAGTGCCAAGAACCCTAAGGTTCTTCGAAGAACGTTGAGGGTCTTAGAAGAACCCTTGTTGAAGCCCTACTTTTTAGAGTGTAGTGACAGAATCACACATTACTTCCCAAGCAAAGTCAATTTTATGTCTCCTCGGCACGTCCGCTGAATGTCATAGAGACAAACCAAAGATATCCCATGTGTATCAGAGTCACGTCTTTCCCCGGCATTTTACAGCTTGTTTCTAGCATAAAGCATTGCGGACTAAAGCGTCATTATAGATGGCTTTACAGTGAGGGAAAAAAGTATTTGATCCCCTGCTGATTTTGTACGTTTGCCCACTGACAAAGAAATGATCAGTCTATAATTTTAATGGTAGGTTTATTTGAACAGTGAGAGACAGAATAACAACAAAAAAATCCAGAAAAACGCATGTCAAAAATGTTATAAATTGATTTGCATTTTAATGAGGGAAATAAGTAGCACCAGGGAGCCATAAGTAGCACCTAAGTAGCACCTGGGAGCCAGAAAGATTTCTGGCTCCCAGGTGTCTTTTATTCAGGTAACGAGCTGAGATTAGGAGCACACTCTTAAAAGGAGTGCTCCTAATCTCAGTTTGTTACCTGTATAAAAGACACCTGTCCACAGAAGCAATCAATCAATCAGATTCCAAACTCTCCACCATGGCCAAGACCAAAGAGCTCTCCAGGGACACGATTGTAGACCTACACAAGGCTGGAATGGGCTACAAGACCATCGCCAAGCAGCTTGGTGAGAAGGTGACAACAGTTGGTGCGATTATTCGCAAATGGAAGAAACACAAAATAACTGTCAATCTCCCTCGGCCTGGGGCTCCATGCAAGATCTCACCTCGTGGAGTTGCAATGATCATGAGAACGGTGAGGAATCTGCCCAGAACTACATGGGAGGATCTTGTCAATGATCTCAAGGCAGCTGGGATCATAGTCACCAAAAAAACAATTGGTAACACACTACGCCGTGAAGGACTGAAATCCTGCAGCGCCCGCAAGGTCCCCCTGCTCAAGAAAGCACATATAAAGGGCCGTCTGAAGTTTGCCAATGAACATCTGAATGATTCAGAGGAGAACTGGGTGAAAGTGTTGTGGTCAGATGAGACCAAAATCGAGCTCTTTGGCATCAACTCAACTCGCCGTGTTTGGAGGAGGAGGAATGCTGCCTATGACCCCAAGAACATCATCCCCACTGTCAAACATGGAGGTGGAAACATTATGCTTTGGGGGTGTTTTTCTGCTAAGGGGACAGGACAACTTCACCGTATCAACGGGACAATGGACGGGGCCATGTACCGTCAAATCTTGGGTGAGAACCTCCTTCCCTCAGCCAGGGCATTGAAAATGGGTCGTGGAAGTAATTCCAGCATGACAATGACCCAAAACACACGGCCATGGCAACAAAGGAGTGGCTCAAGAAGAGCACATTAAGGTCCTGGAGTGGCCTAGCCAGTCTCCAGACCTTAATCCCATAGAAAATCTGTTGAGGGAGCTGAAGGTTTGAGTTGCCAAACGTCAGCCTCGAAACCTTAATGACTTGGAGAAGATCTGCAAAGAGGAGTGGAACAAAATCCCTCCTGAGATGTGTGCAAACCTGGTGGCCAACTACAATAAATGTCTGACCTCTGTGATTGCCAACAAGGGTTTTGCCACCAAGTACTAAGTAATGTTTTGCAGAGGGGTCAAATACTTATTTCCCTCATTAAAATGCAAATCAATTTATAACATTTTTGACATGCGTTTTTCTGGATTTTGTTGTTGTTATTCTGTCTCTCACTGTTCAAATAAACCTACCATTAAAATTATAGACTGATCATGTCTTTGTCAGTGGGCAAACATACAAAATCAGCAGGGGATCAAATACTTTTTTCCCTCACTGTATATAATCAGGTCCGTTCCATTGTTTTCTACAAGGGGTAGTCCTATGCTTTTAGCCATTGTCTTTAACAGAAACCGCAGTACTCTCACATACTCTCACACACTCCCTCAGTTCGAGCCCTGGTTTTAACTTAACACACCAAGCCCTTCACTGACACAGATATTTAAGGAGTGCATGGTGACTAAAGGAATTGGCTGACAAAATCTACAGATAGTACACTATAATTATGTCTGTTAAACAGGTAGGCCTACCTCTTATTTCTTGAAAAGGAAGAAATAGGCTCCAACACAAAGCCCTCTTGTTGTTAGTAGCCTAAAGTCAAATTAAAATGAAGACTGTTTAAATGAATAAGGCCTTCTCAAATTAGCCTACTTTCAGCACTCATGCACTGTCCATCTCAACGCCTGCTGCTTCATAGTAATGCAAATTTTGTAAATTACTCGAATATGGCTTATTGTGAGGGCAACGAAACATCGTTTTTAGTAAAATCAATTATAGCAGTTGCAAGCTTACCTCCGGTCCTCCTTCTCATCTTCACGCTCTCCCAAACTGAACAGGACATCAGTAGGCCTAGTCCGAGCACACAGATATTGCATTTTTTGGCCAGGGCTCATGATTGGGATAGCCTATCCATTGCAGTGTGTACTGCAGTGTAGTCTAGGTTTATATACACCATCGCAGCAGTGCAAAAACTTGCAAAAATATAACTTTGCCCTGTGTTTCTCTGAGCATGCTCTTCGTATAGCCTAGGTCTATAGCCTATAGTATAGGCTATGGATAATTTGATTGAGACCACACTAGGCGCACTTGCAGAGAATCAGGGATGAGGGGCAGCATCGGCCACACAGAGATATCATAAGCAACTAATTCTCAAACACTGAGCAATATGACATTCAGGGCTCTATTTTCGTCTGGCGTTAAGGCGGCACTAGTGTCAAACGGCCATTCGTTTAAAATATATGTATATATAAATATATTTACAAAAAAATATTTTGGGGATTGGAAATTATGCAGACAATTACATTGATGGATCTGCACTATTAAAGCTGAACTACCCCCTAAACAAACCCCCCCCCCAAAAAAAAAACATGTTAAAGCCAGCGCTCTGCTATTTTCAAAGTGTTGCGCAAGGATGGGTCATTTACCCATCTTAAATCAGCTCGCTTGCGCTCAGTTGGGAGGGGTGGAAATATTTGGTGTCCTTAAAAACATGATTCAAAGTGCTAATTTGGGAGCAATTATGGTGCCTGTAAGTGTATTTAGACATGGCCTATTAATTTGATTAGAATGATTCACTCTCTTATATAAAATACCCAAATACACAACTTGAAGCAACCACATATTTAGCCATGGAGCACGTTCTGATTGGCCAGTGAAGGGCCAACAAGCCTCAACACACCCACACCTGGTTTATTCATCAAAACCCAGCCCTTTCTTGCCTATGCCAGCACTGTGCCGATAATTTTTGGTTGTGAAAATAGCAAAGATATTTCTGACACACCCCCAAACCTATAGTGCTACCGCCAGCGCTTAGATTTACCATAGCATTAGGTTTGTTAAAATAGAGCCCTGAATCAATTACAAATTACATGACCATCCCCTGGACTGAATCAGAAAACACTAAACCCTCCCCGACTGAAATTGAAAAATAATTACCCTCCCCCATTTTCCTCCAGGGAACAATTCAGTACATTTCTACCGATCCCTTATTCACTGTGCCAGATTAGATTTATGATACATTGGATAAAAGCACATGCTTAAAAAGTGTCCTGCCATATGTGCCCTCCTGTCCCCAGCTGGATGATGAGATCCGCTACATCCTGGACGGCAGGTCCTACTTTGACGTGAGGAACAGGGATGACCGCTGGATCCGCATAGCCATGACCAAGGGAGACCTGATCACTCTGCCTGCAGGCATCTACCACAGATTCACTATGACTGAGACCATACGGCTCCATTTGTCATTTGGATGTCTACAACAAAACAAAATTGTCTAACATGGTCCTGGCCAGGTCATGTGATTATGACAGGTCAACTGCTGGCTCTGTGTGCATAAGCTATGCAAATATGACTATGTCAATGTATAGTTCTAGAGCTGAACTGCACGTCCACGTCAAAGGTAGGCTATTTCAATTTCATGGAAATACAATGAATGATTTGTTGATTAATGTATTTCTCATGCATTTTGCAGAACTACACTGAAGCCATGAGACTGATCATGGGGGAGCCTGTATGGAAAGCCTACAATCGTCCAGCAGATGAGTTTGATATTCGCCAGAAGTATGTGAGCTCTCTCCAATGCGCTTAAGACAAGAGCAACAGGTGGTACTGAATTACATTTTACATTTACGTCATTTAGCAGACGCTCTTATCCAGAGCGACTTACAGTTAGTGAGTGCATACATTAATTTTTTATTTTTGATACTGAATGGATGCAGATGTTAGTTTCCATTGAATTATAGCATTTTCTACGAACCAACTTTGTGGATTATGAATATATGACTTAGATAATCAAAGCATACTATGACACTAAAGGCTTTCATTTTTCAATCAAGTATTTAAACTTTAAAGCCATGCAGTGCCTACATTCTAATAAAGTTAATGTACAAACACTGCTTTCCATGTATTTCACTATAGAGACCATCCTAATATAATTTTGTATTTATATTATAATGTAGAATGTATTGTACCACTCAAGATTGACTTACTATACTGAACAAAAGTATAAACACAACATGCAACAATTTCAACGATTTTACTGAGTTCCAGTTCATTTAAGGAAATCGGTCAATTAAAATAAATTCATTAGGCCCTAATCTATGGATTTCACATGACTGGGCAGGGGTGCAACCATAGGCCCACTCACTTGGGAGCCAGGCCCACCTACTGGGGAGCCAGGCCAAGCTAATCAGAATGAGTTTTTTCCCCACAAAAGGGCATTATAACAGACGGTAATACTCCTCAGTTTCATCAGCTGTCCGAGTGGCTGGTCTCAGAAGATGCCGCAGGTGAAGAAGCCAGATGTAGATGTCCTGGTTACACGTGGTCTGCGGTTGTGAGTCCGGTTGGACGTACTGCCAAGTTCTCTAAAACGACATTGGCTTATGGTAGAGAAATTAACATTAAATTCTCTGGCAACAGCTCTGGTGGACATTCCTGCAGTCAGCATGCCAAATGCACGCTCCCTCAAAACTTGAGACATCTGTGGCATTGTGTTGTGTGACAAAACTGCACATTTTAGAGTGGCCTTTTATTGTCCCCAGCACAAAGTGCACCTGTGTAATGATCATTCTGTTTAATCAGCTTCTTGATATGTCACACCTGTCAGTTGGATGGATTATATTGGCAAAGGAGAAATGCTCACTAACAAGGATGTAAACAAATTTGTGCACAAAATGTGAGAGAAATAAGCTTTTTGTGCGTATGGAAAATTTCAGGGATCTTTTATTTCAGCTCATGAAACATGGGACCAACACTTTACATGTTGCGTTTATATTTTTGTTCAGTATACAGTGCCTTGCAAAAGTATTCATCCCCCTTGGATTTTTTCCTATTTTGTTGCATTACAACCTGTAATTTAAATGGATTTTTATTTGGATTTCATTTAATGGACATACACAAAATAGTCCAAATTGATGAAGTGAAATGAAAAAAATAACTTTGTTTCAAAAAATTCAAAAAAAAAAATAACGGAAAAGTGGTGCGTGCATATGTATTCACCCCCTTTGCTATGAAGCCCCTAAATAAGGTCTGGTGCAACCAATTACCTTCAGAAGTCACATAATTAGTTAAATAAAGTCCACCTTATCTAAGTGTCACATGATCTCAGTATATACAGTGGGGAGAACAAGTATTTGATACACTGTCGATTTTGCAGGTTTTCCTACTTACAAAGCAGAAAAATCCAGAAAATCACATTGTATGATTTTTAAGTAATTAATTTGCATTTTATTGCATGACATAAGTATTTGATCACCTACCAACCAGTAAGAATTCCGGCTCTCACAGACCTGTTAGTTTTTCTTTAAGAAGCCCTCCTGTTCTCCACTCATTACCTGTATTAACTGCACTTGTTTGAACTCGTTACCTGTATAAAAGACACCTGTCCACACACTCAATCAAACAGACTCCAACCTCTCCACAATGGCCAAGACCAGAGAGCTGTGTAAGGACATCAGGGATAAAATTGTAGACCTGCACAAGGCTGGGATGGGCTGCAGGACAATAGGCAAGCAGCTTGGTGAGAAGGCAACAACTGTTGGCGCAATTATTAGAAAATGGAAGAAGTTCAAGATGACGGTCAATCCCCCTCGGTCTGGGGCTCCATGCAAGATCTCACCTCGTGGGGCATCAATGATCGTGAGGGATCAGCCCAGAACTACACGGCAGGACTTGGTCAATGACCTGAAGAGAGCTGCGACCACAGTCTCAAAGAAAACCATTAGTAACACACTACGCCGTCATAGATTAAAATCCTGCAGCGCACGCAAGGTCCCCCTGCTCAAGCCAGCGCATGTCCAGGCCCGTCTGAAGTTTGCCAATGACCATCTGGATGATCCAGAGGAGAAATGGGAGAAGGTCATGTGGTCTGATGAGACAAAAATATAGCTTTTTGGTCTAAACTCCACTCGCCGTGTTTGGAGGAAGAAGAAGGATGAGTACAACCCCAAGAACACCATCCCAACCATGAAGCATGGAGGTGGAAACATCATTCTTTGGGGATGCTTTTCTGCAAAGGGGACAGGACGACTGCACCGTATTGAGGGGAGGATGGATGGGGCCATGTATCGCGAGATCTTGGCCAACAACCTCCTTCCCTCAGTAAGAGCATTGAAGATGGGTCGTGGCTGGGTCTTCCAGTATGACAACGACCCGAAACACACAGCCAGGGCAACTAAGGAGTGGCTCCGTAAGAAGCATCTCAAGGTCCTGGAGTGGCCTAGCCAGTCTCCAGACCTGAACCCAATAGAAAATCTTTGGAGGGAGCTGAAAGTCTGTATTGCCCAGCGACAGCCCCGAAACCTGAAGGATCTGGAGAAGGTCTGTATGGAGGAGTGGGCCAAAATCCCTGCTGCAGTGTGTGCAAACCTGGTCAAGACCTACAGGAAACGTATGATCTCTGTAATTGCAAACAAAGGTTTCTGTACCAAATATGAAAGTTCTGCTTTTCTGATGTATCAAATACTTATGTCATGCAATAAAATGCAAATTAATTACTTAAAATCATACAATGTGATTTTCTGGATTTTTGTTTTAGATTCTGTCTCTCACAGTTGAAGTGTACATATGATAAAAATTACAGACCTCTACATGCTTTGTAAGTAGGAAAACCTGCAAAATCGGCAGTGTATCAAAGACTTGTTCTCCCCACTGTATATGCCTGTTCTGAAAGGCCCCACAGTCTGCAACACCACTAAGCAAGGGGCACCACCAAGCAAGGGGCACCATGAAGACCAAGGAGCTCTCCAAACAGGTCAGGGACAAAGTTGTGGAGAAGTACAGATCAGAGTTGGGTTATAAAAAAATATCAGAAACTTTGAACATCCCACGGAGCACCATTAAATCCATTATTAAAAAATGGAAGGAATATGGCACCACAACAAACCTGCCAAGAGAGGGCCGCCCACCTAAACTCACAGACCAGGCAAGGAGGGCATTAACCAGAGGCAACAAAGAAACCAAAGATAACCCTGAAGGAGTTAAGCCGTACACTCCACAGAGCTGGGCTTTACGGAAGAGTGGCCAGAAAAAAACCCAGAGAACACCATCCCCACAGTGAAGCATGGTGGTGGCAGCATCATGCTGTGGGGATGTTTTTTCATCGGCAGGGACTGGGAAACTGGTCAGAATTGAAGGAATGATGGATGGCGCTAAATACAGGGAAATTCTTGAGGGAAACCTGTTTCAGTCTTCCAGAGATTTGAGACTGGGACGGAGGTTCACCTTCCAGCAGGACAATGACCCTAAGCATACTGCTAAAGCAACACTCAAGTGGTTTGAGGGGATTCATTTAAATGTCTTGGAATGGCCTAGTCAAAGCCCAGACCTCAATCCAATTGAGAATCTGTGACTTAAAGATTGCTGTACACTAGAGGAACCCATCCAACTTGAAGGAGTTGGAGCAGTTTTGCCTTGAAGAATGGGCAAAAATCCCAGTGGCTAGATGTGTCAAGCTTATAGAGACATACCCCAAGAGACTTGCAGCTGTAATTGCTGCAAAAGGTGGCTCTACAAAGTATTGACTTTGGGGGGGTGAATAGTTATGCACGCTCAAGTTCTCTGTTTTTTTGTCTTATTTCTTGTTTGTTTCACAATAAAAAATAATTTACATCTTCAAATAGTTAAGCATGTTGTGTAAATCAAATGATACAAACCCCCAAAAAATCCATTTTAATTCCAGGTTGTAAGGCAACAAAATAGGAAAAATGACAAGTGGGGTGAATACTTTCACAAGCCACTGTACATTAGTGAGAATCAAGACTAACTCTACTAAGCAGAAATACCAATAAGCTATTGCATTCAGGAATCAAATCATTATTGACGTCGGTTGTAGAGGACTCACAAGTGTTGATTGATTAAAGGCCTACCTCAATTGTAAGATGCATAGGACTTGATGTATGGATAAGTAGTTTGTACTGATGAAAATACAATTGCAATTCTATTTTCAATCATTCAATTGATTGTCTATTCACGATTATTAGCTAGTCTGATTCACTTTTCACCAACAGTATCCATGTACCACATTTAAATTGTATTGCCAGATTCCTTTGTTTGGATAAAAAAAGATTCATTTGAACATGTAAACAAACAGTGATACAGAGACCATTAGTATAATTCAATTAAAGTACTTAAATAAATAATTTACTACAATAATCATTTTGACAAGTTATACATTTTCCCTACTTATAATATGTACAGTTCTGAATTATTATTTATTTTATTTATTTTTTATTTCATT